CTCCTACAACACCATCAGCCTTTATTGGCTCCTTGGTCATTTACTACCCAACTACCCTCCCCTTGTAACCCTTACATTAAGACATTCTGGTTTATTCACAAAGACAAAGCATTCCTTAAGATTCTGTGAAAGTCAACCATTGCCCATTCCAATCCTGGAATTTCAGAAATGACACCTTCTCAAGCTATGCATGTAAAAAAGAACTTTATTCAAACACAGAAACCTGAACATTTGATGCACACAAACCATCTTTGCTGTCTTTTCTCCCATCAGCCACTATAACAGACGTTTTTGACAATTCCAAATTTGCTGAGTTTAATATATTGAAAAAGGTTATTTTTTTAACATTCGGATTAACCACAAGCAGCTTGAACAACCCAAGATGAACGGGTGCAATGGACTTAAAGACTTTGCTAAACTTTCTAGCTGAAATAGACACCCAGGGAAAATCATTCCGTTTCAGGTTTTCTTGTATTCAATCCTTTCTACTTTCACCTCATCCCCAATGAGTTGATATACATAATTAACCACCACGGAGGCCTGAACATCCATCAGAACAAATGAAGGAATTATATCCCTGGAAAGAAGAAATATTTGTAGTTAAAATAGGAAGCAGTTTCTCCAAAATTTGTTAGTTCATTGAAAAGAAAGCAGTCATAATAAAACAAGGTTTGAACTTCTATCAAACGCATTATGCTAAATTGTAGCACACTATATTGTTTCTGGATTAATAGCTGGCTAAAAAAAGGTGCATTTGTTCAGGATTTATTTATTTAGGTTGAGCATCTACATGGATGCACAAACATCCCTTCCAACACTGTTATTCTATGTTCTACTTCACCTTACTTGGGTCTTCTCCACTGTTTCCCATTTGATGGCCATGCCTGATCATCCACCCAACAACCAGGAATGAAAAAAAACATGATCTCCAGAAATAAATCCCTTGAAGTGTGTAGTTCTCACCTTTCCAGAGCGTTGTAGGCCCCCGTGGCTGAACCAGGATTGATGTAGAACTTCTTCTCATGTTCTATTGCCTCAAACTTGTGAGTGTGTCCAGATATTAAGATGTCCACATCCAGCTGCCTCTGTAGGATCGCCAAACTGGCCAGATCCCCCCAAGGTATAATTTGATGGCCATGGATCAGACCAATTCTGAACTGTCCAACGGTGACAATTTTCTGCTGGGGGTAACTCATGCCCTGCAAAAAAACCAAAACATGTCAATCATTAGCCAATACAGTGCTCAATAAAAGTAATCCTTGGGGGCTCCTTGATACTCTCTGAGCTTGGTGGTTTTCTTGCAGACGTTTCATGACCCAAACTATGTAACATCATCAGGACTAGCCCTGATGATGTTACCTAGTTTGGGTCATGAAACGTCTGCAAGAAAACCACCAAGCTTAGAGAGTACCAAGGACCCCTAATGAACTACAAATATTCTCCTTTATTAGGTAATCCTTGACTTAACTACCATTCATTTAGAAACTGTTCGAAGTGGCAGCTGCACAGAAAAAAAGTGAGCTACAACTGGTTCCTCACTGTTACAATGTTCACATCATTCTCCCCCATCGTGACATGGATGAAGAGTCCACTTCCTCTTAGGAATGGCAGGATTTTAGTTTAACACTCTAATGCTACAGTACGTTTAAGGCTGAGAAACATTAAAGCACTGCTAGCCACCACAATATCAGTAGAACTTCCAGAACGTGGCAGAAAGAGGTGATCCTTAATCCACACAGGAACTTCCAGTAGAAGGAATGGATGGTCCTCAATTGCTAAACCAGAATCAGACACATTCTCCAATCTGAGATTCTGGTTTGGCAATTGAGGACCATCCGTGAGGACCTACCTCATCAAAGTCTCCTCTAACAATGTGGACATCTCCGGCCAGCGTCCTCAAATAATCATAGCTCTCCTTGGTGCACAGATTCCCAGTGCAAAGGATATGTTGGATCTTGCCCGGAACTAGCAACTTTTTGAACTTGGCCGGAAGGCTGCTACATCGGTGTGGGATGTGAAAGTCTCCTATCACCAGCACCAGCTGAAGAAGAAAAGAGGTAAAGAAACACAGTGGAGAATCCACTGCAACATTCAGCAGTCATTGTTCATTCATTCCAAACGTAATCCACTTCCAAATTCATTTTCTGTTATCGAGGAGGACAGCAGAAACTGAGAACACGGTAAAGAAGTTGTATTATAACAACATTAAAACATACAAAGGGTTGCGGGAATTGGGTATGCCCAGTTTAATGAAAAGGAAGACTAGGGGTGACATGACAGCAGCGTTCCAGTATTTCAGGGGCTGCTACAAAAAAGAGGGGGTCAAATTATTCTCCAAAGCCCTTGAAGGCAGGACAAGAAGCAAAGGATGGAAACTAATCAAGGAGAGAAGCAACCTAGAAATAAGGAGAAATTTTCTGACAGTGAGGACAATTAATCAGTGAACAACTTGTCTCCAGAAGTTGTGGGTGCTCCAACAACAGGAGATTTTTAAGAAGAGACTGGAGAATCGTTTTTCTGAAATTTTTATAGGGTTTCCTGCTTGAGTGGTGGGGGGGAGGTTAAATGCCAAGGTCCCTTCCAACTCTGTTATTCTGTTAACGGGGCACTCTTACCACCACTCCTTCAACCTAAGCTAAGATTCAAAACTCTTTCTAGAGTCTCAACTCAAAGGGATTACTCTAAATTAACCAGGATGCCACAAAAGATACTTTAAATACCGTTCTCCTCTACTCACCATCCTGCTGAATCTCTGACTCTGCTCTGGATTAGCAAATTGCAAAGCAAACAAACTAAAACAGGAATACAAGTTGCCAAAGGTCAGCTGTTACACGTTGATAGAGCTACGATACCAAGACAATGCAGAAACACAGACACCCCTTACAGGCTTCTTATATATGTATTTAGCTTGGAGACCCCAATCCTGAAAACTCTTATTGCACAGACTTTCTTTTAAAGAAACAGTCTGGTTTGAATTCCAGAATCTGCTGTAATATCTATCTTGAGATGAGGAACCTTCGGATCTCCAGATATTCTTCAATTACATCTAGTTTGTTTATTAAGTTTATATCCCATCTTTCATTCAGGAGTGGTATGCATGACGCTAAAGTAATCTTGGTATCACGAAGCATTAAAAAAAACGATTAAGACTAAAGATTGATCATACAGTTCTGGCCACCATCTTGAATCGTTTTGACAACCACACACAAACACAAATAACACACACACATAGGGGCGTGCCCAGTGGGAAATGACCACATCACTTTGCTACTTTGTTGTGGTTTGTGTATATGACTAGCTATGGGTATTGCAGTTAAAAAAGCTTCTTGAAAGCATCAAATGTGCCATGGATTACTTCCAATGGAACGTGGAGCAACGATGGCTTCATCAGAAGGTGAATTTGTCATTATGCCTTTTAATAAAGTGCATGTTGGAAAGGTTGGACCATAAGAAAGGCTGAGCGCCAAAGAATGGAGGCCTTTGAACTCTGGTGCTCTAGAAGACTCCTGCGAGTCCCCTGGACTGCAAGGTGATCAAACCGGTCAGGACTAGAGGAGATCAACCCTGATTGCTCTTTAGAAGGCCAGATCCTGAAGTTGAAACTCAAATACTTTGGCCACCTAATGAGAAGGAAGGACTCCCTGGAGAAGAGCCTAATGCTGGGAAAGATGGAGGGCAAGAGAAGAAGGGGACGACAGAGAAGGAGGTGGCTGGATGGAGTCACTGAAGCAGTAGGCGTGAGCTTAAATGGACTCCAGAAGATGGTAAAGGACAGGAAGGCCTGGAGGAACGTTGTCCATGGGTCGGACACGGCTTCGCAACTAACAACAACAACAATGTTGGAAAAAGTTCCATCTCTGACTGTTGCCACCAGAGAGTAACCCAGCTCTTTTGGTTTAATTTCTGTGAGTTTTTCCCAAATTCTGGCATACCAAGTTGTCCTTGACATTCAACCGTTCATTCAATGGCCGCTCAAAGTTATAATGCACTTAAAAAAAGTTATTTATGACTGCTTTTTACACAACAGTTGTAGCATCCCCATAGTCACGTGATCAAAATTGAGGCGGTTGGCAACTGGCTTGTACTTATGACTGCTGCAGTGTCCAGGGGTCATGTGATCACCTTTGGTGGCTTTCTGACAAGCCAAGTCAACAAGGAAGCCAGATTCGCTTAACAATTGTGTCCCTAACTTAACAAGTGCAGTGATTCACTCAACAAGTCTGCCAAGAAAGGTTGTAAAATGGGGCAAAACTCACTTAACAGCCATCTTGCTTAGCAACAGGAATGTTGAGGTCAATTGTGGCCGTAAGTCAAAGACTATTGTATGGAGGTTGACTTTTCTTTCTGCTCAGTTGACAAGGAAAGTGTCCATTTATTGTACTGGGCCCTGTTAAAAACGCTGGATTTCTTTTGAGGTTCATAGGAACAATTATAACAATGTGAGGAGAGGAGAAGTGGGTCTTGAGACCCCCTCCTAAATCTCCACCACTCTGGAAAGTCCTCCACAACCTGACAAGATTTGCTTTTAAGGAGGGGAAATTGACCTCTTATAAACCTTCCCCAGCCCCCCCCCCAGTGTCTCAATATTTGTCTCAAGATTGCACAGCTCCAAATATGTTGAATCAGCCAAAGGCCAGCAAGATAACATTGGTTCCTTCACCACTTCTGAGGCTGACTCAAGGACAAAAGACAAGTGTAGCTTTCCTCTTGTGGCCAAGAATGAGGAAATCTTGTAAATCAATGACTTCTTTTCTGGTGCCAAGGAGATGTTTTTTGTTTCACTTCCCCTTGAGACGGCATCACTGTGGGCAGCCAGTTGCTGTCGTAAGATGAGCAATAGTAATGCCAAATCTTCTGCTTGGACATTGTTGATGGTTAAGGTGGCAGAAGACCCACCTGGAAATCCCGAGAATTGCTCTGGAATTCCAGGGGGTCTCTTGTTGTGCTGGTAGATCAACAACTTGGGCAAACTGTTGGGTTTCTGTTGGTACCAGGAGACGTGGTACTTGTTGATGCTTGCGGTGTTCCTTGTGCAAGAGATCATAACTCTGCCTCCAAGGGCTACTGACAGGGAGGCTGGCTGAGTTAGTACAAACTGGCCCCAGGATCCTAAAATAGAATATAAAATGGAATGGAATGGAATAGAGTAGAGTAAGTAGAGTAGAGTAGATTAATATGGAGTGGAGTGGAGTGGAGTGGAGTGGAGTGGAGTAGAGTAGAGTAGAGTAGAGTAGAGTAGAGTAGAGTAGAGTAGAGTAGAGTAGAGTAGAATAATATGGAATGGAATAGAATAGAATAGAATAGAATAGAATAGAATAGAATAGAATAGAATAGAATAATAGGTCAGAGCAGAACCAAGACCAATAAAACTCTTGATCAATCGAAGTTGGATCTCCTGCACATTGCAGAAGAACTGTTTTTTTAGGAATATCCCAGATGTTTTAAGTTTTCTTTTACCTGCAAAGTAAAAAAAAAATCAAGAAAAGGACAGAGGTTTGTGCCATGGTCAAGGAAAAAAATCTGTATTTCTTGCAATAAAGCTCTCTCTCTCTCTCTCTTTCTTGCATCTCTTCTTAAAGTCCTGAAAAGGACAGGATATAAATACATGGAAATGAGATGCCTTTTTGGATTGTTACATAACTATTCACGTCTCTTTAGATAATAAAGAGAAGAGCATTGCTAAAGAAGCATGGGATCTTCTAGGAACAGTCTCACAACGTGTTTCTTGAGTGAAAGAGAGGGTGGGATCCAGCTACATTTAATTTATTTCTATTTAGTTTTCATGCTACATTAAACCTAGCTAATAGGGATAATGCCCAATTATATGTTGATTAATTTGCTCCTTGTTGCTCCTTGTTAGGTTGCATCAAGTCATAACTGACACCTGGTGACCCCATGGATAAAAATCTCTCTATGTGTCCACCTTCTAGTGAACTACACAGTTCTTACAGGTACGTTCCTGTATCTTCCTGAACTAGTCTTGGTATACTATTAGCCTCTTGTTCTTATTCTGTTCTATTTTATCTCAATTTAAGAAAAAAAAATCACAATCTGCTAATAACTAAGAATGTTAGGATCGGGCAAAATCCAACTGAAATTGCCAATGGAGCTCAGATTTGCAATCTGATTAGATTCAGACCTGCAATGAACAGCCATTACATGATGCCTACCTCAACGTAGACACATCTGCTTTGAAATAGCAATTAAAATTATATCCCATTGTCTACTTCATGCTTTACTTCCTTATTCTATTATTTCTGAATTATGGAGGCTTCGGAATAAATCCATGTTTGATGTTTGTAAGATAGAAGTGTTCTGGGGGGTTTTTTGCACCTAGGAGTAGATCATAGGGCTCGAAGGGACCTTGGGAGTCTTCTAGTCCAACAACCTACTCAAGGCAAGAGACCTTATTCCATCCTGGACAAATGGTTGCCCAATCTTTTCTTGAAGACCTCCAGCGATGGACACAACAACTCCAGGAGGCAAGCTGTTCATGAAGCTACTTGATTTTAAATATATGGTTTGACCCCTCAGTGGCATTCACTGATCTATTGCTCTCATTTTCTTATTAAGTTGCATGCCCATTTGGCTTTTCCTATGATAGACACTTGTGTAATGGACACACACCGCAGTACATGAATGGTCCTCAAGCACCTCAACAAATGCAAACTGAAAGTTCTCATATGCAAAAGAAGGTTTTTGCCTCACTTCCCTCTGTAGGTTGCATCACTGTGGAACATCCAGTTACTGTCGTAAGACTGACAATAATAGTCCGCCTCGTCTTCTGATTGAACACCATTAATGGTTAAAGTAGCTCTAGAACTGTCAGTTGCTCCAGAGAATCGGTCTGGAATGTCAGCAGGCCTGTACATGTGCTGATAAATCAATAGTTTGGGTGGTTCAATGGATTTCTGTTGATACCAGGACACATAGTAACCAGACATAGCTCCACTGCTCCTCGTGCAGGAGATCTGGACCTTTTCTTCAAGACGTGCTGTTACAGAAGCTGGCTGAGTCAATACAAATTGGGCTGAGGCTCCTGAAAGAAACAAAACAAAGGGAAGCAATGGCTTGATGAGACTTGGATTCCATCAAAGTCAACTGCAAAGAGAAGGAAGCCCTTTAACCTTGTAGTAGGTTAACAGAATAATAGAAGAACTGAGTTGGAAGGGACCTTGGTGGTCTTCTAATCCAACCCCCTGCTCAGGCAGGAAACCCTATACCACTTCAGACAAATGGTTGTCCAATCTCTTCTTAGAAACCTCCAGTGATGGAGCACCCACAACATCTGGAGGCAAGTCATTCCACTGATTAATTATTCTAACTGTCAGGAAATTTCTCCTTAATTCCAGGTTGCTTCTCTCCTTGATTAATTTCCACCCGTTGCTTCTCGTCCTGCCTTAAGGTGCTTTGGAGAATAGCTTGATTCCCTCTTCTCTGGGGCAGCTCCTGAGATACTGGAAGACTGCTATCATGTCCCCCCCTAGTCCATCTTTTCAATAAACTAGACATACCCAATTCCAGCAACCATTCTTTATATGTTTTAGCCTCCAGTGCCCTAATCAGCTCTTCTCTTCTTGAATGTTACCCCCAAAGAGCAAAAGTTATAAATCCAAGGGTTTACATTTGGAAACATGTTCTCCTTTACCTGTGCAATAATAGAAAATGAGGAAGAAGAGGATAGCTTGTGCCATGTTGAAGCTAACAGTATAAGGGATGGCCATGACGGATGTCCTACGTGCAAAGTGTTTTGGAGATATTGCTTTCTTTTAAAGGCCACGCGAGGAAAAAATGCAAAGGCATGCAAAGGCACTTCCTCTACCTATGTGGTTATCATCGTCATTCAGGCCCACTGTAAAATTATAGGGAGGGGAAAACACTTTGTCACTGGAAAGTTTCAAGGTCTTCAATTGGCCAGTTAAATTGGCCAGTCATGGACGATGTAGTTGGCTTGACTTGACTAACGTTGATCTGAATCAGGATTTCTCCAGACACAACTGTTAAGTCGAACCAAGGATGGAGAAGCAATGGTGTCCCAGTTTTTGCCACAGATGGATTCCTAGAAGATCCTACTGGCACCGCCAACTTTTACCCAAACGGTGTTATAAATGGATGAATGACTCTAGAGTGTTTTCTTGCCTTTCTTTTATTCAACCCCTACCGTTTCTTTCTTCTCCAGTCTTTTGGTCAACTTTTCCTCCCCCACCACAAAAGAACACTTACAGGTCATAGCAATGGCAATAGCACTTAGAGTTATATTCCACTCCCTAGTGCTTTACAGAGTCAGCATATGGCCCCCGACAATCTGGGTCCTCATTTTACTGATCTCGGATGGATTTTCTGGCATTATACCTAATTAAAAAAATGTTTCTGATTATTCTTTCTTATCCAGCCTACCAACGTGTTCAGACAATCTTAAAGAGTAGGAATTATTCCTGAGAACTGGAGAGTGATGAGAGAAGAGATGGAGGTCAATAGAAATGCCCCATCAGTTTCGTCTGGATATCAGAGAACATGAGGCACACGCTACCAGACAGCTAACCCACGCCCCAGTCATCAACATGTAATCTCATAGCACCACCGTCTGGATGTTCCCTAAACAAAGAGATCAGAAACACTGTAAAACACTGTTGATCTCTCAGAAGATCTTTAAGACTTGGCTGTTCTCCCAGGATGGGAGTTGGAAGATTAGATGAGCCTGTGAGGTATTGCGATTAGTGTCGATGGTGTGAGCTGCCATGTTTTATTTTTATTCTGTTTTATTACCTTAGGACAGTGGTGGCGAACCTATGGCACGCGTGCCAGAGGCGGTGCACAGAGCCCTCTCTGTGGGCACACCCGCCATTGCCCCAGGCCTGCCTCCCCCCGCTGCCCCCTCCTCAAGCCCCCCCCTGGAGGAGAGTCGCCCCCAAGCGTAGCCCGCGTGGAGCAGTGCAGCCAAGGACATGGCAGCCGAGCAGTGGGGACAACACTTCGCCCTCACACCTGTTGCACACAGTTGATGCTGCGGGGCGCAGGCGGAGGGTGTGGCTGCCGTGGTGCTAGTGGGCCACCTGGGTAATCTGCAGCAGGCCATGGAGGCAGTGGGTGGCCCTGTGGATGGGCGGGGCAGGCAGGGGGCAGTTTTGGGGCACACGGTCTCTAAAAGGTTCGCCATCACTGCCTTAGGATTATGTTGATGTTTTTAGCCCTGTTCCATGCCCAGAAAAAAAATGACAAACGTTTGTATGAGATGGTGGGGCCGTACAAGTAGAATTTATAAACAAATGAAGTCAATGGCTACACGATCATATTGTTTTCAGTGTTGGGAGATTCCACCTGCACTATAGTTGACTAAGAAATTTCTGAGCAGTGAGAAGAATTAACCAGTGGAATAGCTTTGCCTTCACAAGTTGTGGGTGCTCCATCACTGGAGACTTTTAAGAAGAGACTGGACAGCCTCTTATCTGGAGCGGTATAGGGTCTCCTGCTTGTGCAGGAGGTTGGAGTAGAAGACCTCCAAGGTCCCTTCCATCTCTGTTATTTTGTGACATGGCTACAGCCTTCAAAGAGACTGTAAAGAACACAGGGCAGAAATTCTATGTTAAATGGGACATAGTCATACTTCAACTGATCCCTTTCCTTCCACCCATCATGGAGTCCCAGACCAATTGTAGTGTCCTTCTAGAACAGTGGTTCTCAACCTTTTTAATGCCACGACCCCAACCGGTCATAAGTCGAGGACTAAACCGGTCGTAAGTCGAGGACTAAACCGGTCGTAAGTTGAGGACTACCCAACCGGTCGTAAGTCGATGACTTTCCCTGCCCGGGAGCACCGCTCATGCGTGGTTCCGCCCCCTGCGCCGGCCGAGGCGTAGATGGCAAGCGGCAGAGACGGAGCAGGCCGACCACCAGCTGGCCCAGCCCAAGGGAGGTAAGGCACCCGCCGGAAAAGGGGGAAAAATGGCGGACAAAAAAATGGCGGACAGCCTTGCTTGGCGACCCCCATGAAATGGTCGATCGACCCCAAATGGGGTCCCGACCCACAGGTTGAGAACCACTGTTCTAGAATTCAAATACCATCACATCCCTACGTGTCTAAAAGAGAATGGTACCAGCAAAGGAGCACCTGACAGCTAGAGAAGGCTAAAAGGAACCCAGAAGATATTCTTACATATTGGTTAGGCATGCATATTGGTGTTCACCAGCTGCTAGGTTTTTGTTCAGCTGTTCAGCAGAATTGTAGCACTGTGTACGAGCCACTGCCTATGTAAGAGGCGCAAAAATATACAGACGCATCTTCTGGCTCAAGACTGGAGATTGTTAACACGGCAGATCTTCTAGAGCTTTCAACAGAACCGGAGAATCGTGCTGGAATTCCAGAGGGTCTGCTGCTGTCAGAATATATTATGGGTTTCGGGGCACTGCCAGGGTTCTGTTGATACCAGGAGGAATATCCTGATCCAATCGTTCCACTGCTTTTTTTACAAGTGAGTCGGACTGTCTCTCCAAGAGATCCAGACACAGAGGCTGGTTGATTCACGACAAACTGGGAAAAACTCCCTGGAAAAAAAGCAAAGGTGACAGGAAAGACTCAGTCAACACGATGGTCATTGAACTTAGGAGAAATGTGTGGTAGGGACAGAAATCTGAAATCAAAGAAGTAGAGGAGAAACCACTTCCCTGAATTATAAGGGGATGGGGGGAAGAGTGTAAGTCCCAGCCATTTTTAGTAGATAGCCCAAGTCTTCAATTTACCCATAAAGGAAGAGGAGAGGATGAGAAGAAGAGGCAGCCAAGGCATGGTGGAAGATGGGATCAGGACTGAATTGTCTGCAGAGCCAGCTGTCCTCTCTGCTCTTAAGCCTTTTGCCAGTGGGGAATTCAAATTCATGCAAATGTCCTGCCTGCTCATCAATTCTTCCTCAGATATGAGGGCCAGCTTCAGATAAAAGGAAAGAGCATCCTTTGAAGATTCCTTCTCTTCAAGCACTAGGATTTTCTGGTGGAGCTTTTGAGGACACATTCCATTCCATTCCATTTTGATTTTTATCCAGTTTCTGCCACTCTTCTCTTTGAGAAGGGAAATAACGCGTGTTTTCTCATTGCTACTGAGAACATAAATAACAAACATCCTTAAACTAGAATTTTGTGGACTAAAATTTCAGACTTAGTTTAGAAAACACGGCAATCCTGACCTCTACAGGTTATGTCACCATAGCCTCAAAGTGTTTTATAGGTGTTGGGCAAAGCAGATGCCAAGATTCTCTTTGTCAAAATAAAGAAGCAGCGTGACCTACCTCAAACGTAAATAGCATATTGAAATTTATTTTTTATGCCTCAAAAGGGGGTGGATCAGAAAGGGGAATAGGAAGGGGAACATAGGTATGATCTAGAAAACCATAGAGTTAAAATTTTTTCCAAAGTTTAGACAAACAAACATCAACAAAGGAGATTCCTGTTGTAGGCAATCTGAGAGTGGTTGACGATGCTCAAGGAGACAGAATTGGAAGAACTACGGAGAGGGCCAGAGAACTGAGTTGTGGCTTCAAAGGCTCTCTCTTATTTTGCTCATGTATCTGATGATGGCACCGTTGATCCCAGGAATTGTATTAATC